AATAGAGCACAACAAAAATAAGTACCCTATCAAGTATACATGCCCATCTATTATTTTAGCATGTTAGACCTTCTGCTTAAATTCTGTGCTTCATTTGATTAACTGGACATGATTGTGTGACACGATCTAATTCTGCATTTACACAACTCCAAAGTACCACAAGTGTCTGGCAAGTTTGAAGCCTGTTTCACAACAGTACTGATAAGCTGCTGCTCTGTCAGATGATCAGCATACCTGTAGCATGCCCTTGATCAAGTTAATATTTAAAAATAGTAATGCAATTCTAAATTAGGTTCATGTATCTTTCCAATTATGCTTTGGGAGGAGAAGACTGATTTAGATGTCTGAGAAAGGGAGGGCTGGGTTCCGTTTTTTTCCTGGTTTTTTTTTGTTTGCTTTTTTTGTTGTTTTTTTTTTAGCACACTTAAGTTTATTTGAGGGGAAAAAAAAACCACCACGTTTCTTTCATAACTGTAATTTAGAAAACCTGACAGACCCTTGCCATTGGGCAACCAAGTTAATAATTGACTAAGACGTATAGCTGGCCTTAATGCATGGTTCCACACCAACACCATCAGAGGGTGTAACTTACTCAGCTCCTCTCAAACACTTAAGGAAAGAGGAATGGTAAGCCAAACTATATGCAGGTCTTCTGAACCATGGTAGGATGTGTTAATTAGAATGATTATGAATAAATAATTTAAGTATTTATTTATACTTTTAATAATCAGATTACTTCTGGAAAATTTGCATGAATAAATTCTTCCCTTTAAAATATGTCATGTTTTTAATTTGCTTGGGATTAGGCTAAATATGCATTGTCAGATAATGAGCTGTCCAGTGTATCCTCCTGATCATCTTAATTGGCTTTGTAATGGAGATACGAAGCAGCTGCTCACCTATCAAATGAATCTGACCAAGAGGTCAGACAGTGTCATGCCTTTCTAACAAGTTTAAATCTCAAAGCAAGGTCTTTTTTACTTCTAAATAAGGGCACATGTTCATGGAAAAATGAGTAAATGTTTGCTAGCACTTAAATCTGCTAAGTACCTTTTAAACTTTAATTCCTTCTCTTCACACACACTGATGAAAATGGACTGATCACTGATGCTTTAAAACTGGATTTCCTTGTGGTAAAACTGAAAGACATGAGCTGAGCTGTGTCACAGAGAGAAAGGTTTATACTCAGGATCTTCTGGCTTCATAATCAACAATCTGATCACTGCTTCATGCCTTTCTTTTGCATGCAAGTGTTAAAACTGTGTCAAATGTAGTGGCTGTGTTTTAGTACAACAGGTTTGGTTTTGCTTTGCAGTATCAGTATGGCATTATCCAGGCCTTGGGTTTTCAAAGGTGAGATAGGCACCAAGATCCAAATACAAATGTATGAAATAGTAATTTCTATGAGCAGTCTTCAAAGCTTCCATCCTAAAATGTTAAGGAATGACAAATTTAATTACTGTAATTACAGTAATTCTAATTGTAATTACATGTAGAATTACTGTATCAGAGGAAGCTCCCTAAAAATCTGTCATTTTAGGCAAGGTCACACTAAATATTTTATTTTCATAATATTTATGTTTAATGCCATCACAGACTTGCAAAATACTAATGGCCATAATTGCTACTTCAATCTCTATTTCAATCTGCTAGTTCAAACGTTCAAAGGCTGGCTTAAGATTTTGGAAGGGGTAAACGAATTCTGGCAGACTTAGAGCTATGTCAGATATCATCTGTCTTCTCTGTCTATCAGATCCAGTTGGGTGATCCTCTTATAACTGGCATAAAGCCAACCTGAACACCATTTTGAGTGTTTGGACTAAATAAATCAGAAATTTGATTATGTGCACATAATCTATTAAAAATAAATTAAAGATTTGGCATGTTTTTCCTAGCCTATCTACTGAGGACAAGACTAAGCCACTGATATCTTTGCTGAACATGACTCCAAGTCTCTTTTTCCCCCAAAATGCTCTATTGATATAAGAATGACTATACCAGGTCAAACCAGGGCAATCTTGCCCTCTCTAGAGATGCCTACAGAAGAATAACAAAGCATTAATGATGCTTCCCCAGAATACTCATTCTTTCTCCCTATTTATGGTTCAGGAACTTCCTCAGACAGAGGTACTACCTTTGCATTTAATAGTACTTGATGCCTAGTACCTGTGGAACCCAGAAATGTCTAGCATCCATAAGAAAAACATCCCCTGCTTAATTTTAAATTGTGAAGAACTGCCTATTTTTTCTTCCTCCGAGTTTGCCACCTATTAGTCTTGCTGCCAGAGCTGGTCCAGTTTCCCATCGTGCTTCATTCAGTTGGAAAGAGATTACAAGAAGATAAAAAAAGCTGCTGCATTGTACAGAGTTTGAATTATTTTCACAGTATACGTGCATGTATTCTTCATCTAGTGTCATCAGAACAGGATCATTGCCTGGTTCCTTGCTCTACATCATACAGTCCTAACTCTAAATCAAATGGCCCAAGAGCCTTGCCAAGGTCTGAAAAGGAACTTGTCCTCAGCAGACAAGTTTCCAGCCCTTCCATGCAGTAACTTACCTCAGCAGCCAGACCTGGTATCATAGAACAACACAGCAACATTCAATTTTCCTGTTTTCTGAACAGCACAAGTTCTGTTTCTGCAGATTTGCTCATTAAGTCATCAGAAGATGAGTCATCTGGAAAAAAACCCAAAAAACTATAATAATTTGTCCCCTAGGAGTCATATAGTAAGTTAATTATTGTAGAACACATTCTAATACAAAATACATGAGCAGCTTCAACTTCTTGAGGTTGCAGAGGGGAAGAGAGTTTTTCAAACTTTCCATCAGCTATGGTCTGGGAATGCTGGGTTTCCCTTGACTCAGTATCTGTTGCATAATCAGAAACATGTTTGTTGTATGAGACAAAGCTAAAGAAATGTGTGTTATTACCTTGCAAAAATAACAAGTAGACACCTAATCAGCCTATGTCATGTAAACAGTGTTTATAAACACAACTGCTCTGGAGCAGTTCCTCAGCTGACAAAAAATCTTGCAGCTTGTATCAGTTGAAATCATGCTCTTCTGAGTCTGCAAATATCCCATCACTGCTGCATGGGAAGTCAAAATATAGGCAAGCAATGTGCCATATGAAATTCAGGTAGCATTAGGTTAAACCTGCTTGCCTGGAGATCACCTGTCAGTGCACTGGCCTGAATCTGATCACTCATGTTTTAGTTACTCATACCCAGTCATCCCAGCTTGTTGGGTTTTGTTATTTGTTACCAGGTTTGTTTTGTTACTTTGTTACTGTGTGGTTATTATCTCAGCATGAAATAATCTCATCAGTGCATAGAGAGGAAAATCTGAAAACAAGGTGAATGCCTGCAGCATCTGAAAGTATAGGAATCCACATTATAGGAAGGAAAGACTGGTATTAAAGATACTGATTTTAAATTACTAATTTGGTGAACTCAAAATGGCTGTGGCAAGAGACCCAGTTTCCTGCTTTCTCATTTGGCAGACCTACATGATGAGCTTTCCTTTCTTGGAATTAATACAATTGAAACATTGATTACTTAAATAAAATCTTAGTCTGTTGTCAAATGAGCTTGAATCTTCACAGTCACTCTGGATCCTCCATTATTTGACATGCAAAAAACCCAATCTATTCAATATTCTCTTTATCAAAGCTTCTATAAATAGGTCAAATACTTGGAAGTGTATTCATTGACCTGTCATGTAGACAGATCCCAATCAGGTATTTGAAAAACAAATGGGGCTAAAGGGTCAGCAAGCAAACAGCAATACTGTGATCTCCATGGATGCCATAATCTCAGCTGAATGCCTTACTTCAGTAATGGAGCCATAATATCCATTCCATATAAAGCTGGACCTCTGAGGTCATTAAGAGAAACATGTAAAGTCCATCATATTTTGATCAAAATACAAAACAGAACTGTAACTGATGCTATCTCCTGTTGAACCTGTCTAAGCAGGCATAGGCTGTGGAGGAGTCCATAACCTTGAAGACTTTGCCTTAAAGTGGAGGAATTTCCTTGGAAGTTCCCTCCCAGTTTTAGAAGTGCTCCTCTGTTTCTGGGACAGATAGAAACACTGGAATAACTTTATCTTGAGACAGAAAGGACACTAACCACAGTCTTGCTACACTTTCTTCCAAGACTGATCTTGTGGTTATGGCAACTGAACATATGATGAAACGCAAGTTTCTCCATGGTGTGCTAAGACATAGTAGGCAGGTCCATCATCCATTACATACTAACTAATGCATTGTAACAAAGGTAGAAAAAGCTTTACATGTGGTAAGGAACCATTATAGTCCTCCAGCCTTTCCCCCACAGAAATATTATTATACAAATGTGCTTCAAAATGCCTCTAACATTTCAGATGCTTACAAAATTCTTATCTTCCTGCTCTAAAATGAAAGCTCAATATTATTCTTAATTACGGACTTGGCTAAGCAAAGGGAAGGGCTGTTTGGAAGCAATCTTTTCCTGAAATAAAGGAGTCTTTTTGCTACATAGCCTGTGGTACACACTAAGGATACCATCTGCCATCCAGGGAGGGCAGAAAAGGCACTGGTCTTTATTTCAGTACATTTAAATGACAGACATAACTACAGAGGAGAAAAAAGATCCAAAAGCTATGGAGGTAGACTCCAGGTGCTATCTGACTAATAATGACTGCTAGACAAGCCAGTGGTGCAAACTCAACTGGCTTTCAAAACATAAGTATTATCCAGTGGTGTGTGGATATGTCACTGGAAGCAGAAGCATGGCCTCATGGCCTTACCTCTGACACTAGTCCTTCCTATAGGATTACACATAGCACTTCATTTCTTTGTGCCTAATTTTCATTATCTGCAGTGGGAACAATTAGTTATGCATGACATCTATACTTAGTTTCTATGACTCTCTGCTAATCATAGTAAATTATTATTAATTAATTTGTCAATCAAAATATAATTTATTGAAGACTCTGTACTACTTTTCTTCCAGGAGCCACTCCAAATTTGGCAACCTAGTCACCACGGTGACTTCAGCTGCCCCATCTGTCTTCAGACAGCTACTCTCCCTGTAGAAACCAACTGTGGACATTTGTTCTGTGGTAAGTTTTCTGCAGAGTGCAGTGCTTATACAGGCTACTAAATAAAGCACTCTCCTTACAGAAATCTCAAGTCTTAGGGAAGGCTGCTAAGCCATATGGTTAGGATTTAAAAATTTAAATAATTTTTCAAAGGGAGTACATGGATTAAGCATAGAATAGGGGAGGGAGTTATGTTCATAAATCCATTTATAAGCGGATTTCAGGATTTTTAAGGCCCACATTCTGCACCACTAGAACCAGTGTGAGCTTTGCACCTGCTTTGAAAGGCAGCAGGATAAGTCTACCAGCATACTTGGACTGAACAGTTTCTCTCAGACCGCTAAGATACATTGAATTTATAGGTGAAGTTTACAACCTCAGTGCCCCAGCTGCTGATCAGGTTCCTTGCTGTCATCCTCACAGCAGGGCAGGGTTGGCAGAAGAGGATTTGAGTTAATGATCTGATGAGGTCAAACTGACCATGAACATACTTCAGGGCTACTATACAGCATGAGATCACTGACCTCTGTCAGAGGGGCAGGCAGACAGGCAGCTGGAGGCAGTAATACCTGGCACTGCAACAGCAAGACATATCAGAAGACATTGGTCAGAACCATAAAGCTCCTTCCTACTGCTCTGGCATTTTATAGAGACCTTAACACTGCAAGTTGTTTTTACAAGCCATTTACACTTTTTTCACCACATAAGTGTATGATGAGAAGACCCAGGCATAAATGAGAACAAGGCACTGTGTTGACAATGCTGGTGCAATAAAGAGCACATTTTTATCTTTAGGAAGTGTCACTTTTCTCTAGATTGAAATGACGCTCACACAGCACAACTCTTCACCACCTCTGCCACTGTCTCCATCCTCTGAAACCACAACAAATCCATGGATCATAAACAGCTAGGGACACTTTGTGGTGCTCACCTACCTCATGAGTGACACCATTTACTACTTTAGGTTGTTTCATGTTCATGTAACATTGTTTCATAACATACAGGAAAGGGATGCTTTGAATATAACTCGCTCCAGGACAACCAGTAAGTATATGGCCTCAAAACGTGTTTCAAATAATGTCACAGAAGTTACAGTTTCAAGTAAAAAGATAGACATAACAACAAAGATCATCAATGTTCCTCTTTCTCTGGCCTGGTTAGTTTTCCCTTTCCCATCTGTGAATATTACACAATGATATGGAAGTAATTTTACATTATTTTGAGATCTGCAAAGGAGAAGTAACATATACAAGCTTGGTCTATATTATTGTTAGCTGTATATATTTACCTAGGGTTTACTTTCCTCAAGTACATTAACACTCTGAAGCACTGACTCCAGTGCAATGCATTATGTATGTTATGACTCTGTTTATAGGGTAGAAGCAGCCTCTGTAACATGTCTGTTTTTCATGTCTTAAACCAATAAAACTTTACATGGGGCTTATCAAAACCATTCTGTGTAGATCTAAGTCTGTTGTGACTGAAATCAGTAATAAAACTTCTCTTGATGCCCTGTGGAACAGAGCTAAGGCAATGCTGAGCCCTCTTAATAAATTCCGCTCTGGTAAAAGTTTTATTTAAAAAATGTGGTCAACCCAGAGCTTTTAAAGAAGATTAATGTGGACTTATAAAAAATGTCTGATTTTATTATTAGTAGTAATTCATACAGTTTGTCCTGAAGTTTTCCTTTTCAGCTTCAGTTTGAACCATATGTTCAGGAAGTTCAACTGAAAAGCGATCCTTGAGCAATATTATTTTTTTCTAATTAACAATAACCACAGAGGCATTTGAGAGAACCCCACAAACTCCCTCAAGAAGGTTGTGCAGCAGGCTAGATTAAAACAGGATTTTTGTCTATTTTATGAAAAATGCACCGAAGCACAAATAGGTCAACTTCAGAGGAATCCTTCCTTTCCTGTTCTACTAAACAAAGGACTCTGCAAGCAGCAAATTTTAATTTCCACAGGCTTCTTTTTTGAAAGCCCTTGAAGAACTATGGAATCCATCAGTGCCCTATTGTCATCACAGGGACTGAGCACAGGCACAGCAGCACAGGCGTGTGAATCACGATACAGGGTCTAGACCTACAGGGTCAAAGCTGTTCCCAAAGTCAGGAATGATGTTTGTCAAATGCAAAAGTTCAAGTAAAAGCTGGAAATTGGCTGCCAGACCGAGTTTGTACATACCACATGGGGATTTAGATACAAACACAGCCCTGTGCCCAACTGGTCTGAGCAAGCAAATAAAATGAAAAGCCACAAAGAAAAAACCCGCACTCAAATGAGAACAAAAGTAAAAAGCACAAGTGAAAGCAAGGTTCATAAAAAGTATCTTTGGGCCAAATTTAACATGCCTTGTATATGGGACATAACTGCTAGCATCATGAACATTTTTATACTTGTTTTCAAGCACACTGCACTGAGGGCTCCTGAAGAATTCTTACAATAGTGCTTACAAGAAGTCACTTGCTGGTTAAAGAACAAGGAGCATTGTTCAATTCAATAAAACAATTCAATCAAAATGGCAGTGCAGCCTTTTGCTTCTGTTTTCACTGGGGTCCTTGTCAAATCTGATCAATTCAAATGCTGAGACGTTTTGTTTTCCTGACCTGTCACACCACACCCGGGAGCTGCAAGTCAAGCTGTGCTGCTTCTGATTAGATGCTGTTTATGCTTTGCTGTTTTCGCTGTTACTGACAGCACTGACACTCATGTCTGTCAACCACTGCTGTCAGCTGTATGTGCAGTCTATCTCCCTGTCCTCAGACTCTGCCTTCTTTCACACTTGGGACTTTGGTATAAGAAGAGATGATGATGATTTGGAATTCGGTAGCAGGTAAGAAGAATCAAAAGGAATGCACCAACTTGCTCTTTCAGAGCAGTTCCAAAGGGTCACAAAGTTGAAATACAGGAAAAGAAAGGAAAAAAAGCAAACAGACAAAACCAGCCCAACATACGATACTTCAGCACCAAGATACATGTTGTGCCTCCAGGATCCTGCATCACCAGGCTGTCCCCTGGCTGTGCTCCTTGGTTTGTTTGGGATAACTGGCCCTCATGACCCCTAAAAGCCATCCTGGCTCTGGAGGAGCTCCACCTTTATGCAGCTGCACTGCTTTTATCCACCACAGCCAGCGCTGCGCTCTGAAGGGTCTTTGTATTCCTGTGTGCTTCAACCCCAATCCAGGGAGCTTCAGCAATAAGATGCTACCCACAGAAAAAGAAACTGAATCAAAGTCTCCCTTAGGACGTCCCTGTATCTCTGTATATACGAGTGCAGAAGAGCTAAGGGTCCATTTTCACACAGTCACTTTGCAGAGTAAAGTTCTGTATTAAAGGAAAGCAAAGAATTATTCACTTTTACAGTCTGTTGGAGAAAGAGGTTGTTAATTCTGATAATTTCCTTGTAAACATTCAATATCCTCAAATATATTTAAGGTATCTTAATTTCTTTGTTTTTTTCTCTTTCGTAGGTTCCTGTCTGATCACGTACTGGAAACATAGTCCCTGGTTAGCAGCAATAACCTGCCCTCTCTGCAGACAAAAGGTTAGGACTTACTCCATCTGCATTATGATACATACAAAATTACAAGCTTGAGCTCTTAGGATCAACTTTATTTATCCTCTAATTTTCCATAGCATTTCAAAACCCACTTAGACTTGAATGACCCTGCAGCCATTTGCATTCATCACTTGACACGTATCAGGCAACTCTGCAAAATATTAAACAGGCTTCCAGCATTTTACTTCTGTGTAGTTTGTGAATCTCTGGGATAACATTCCATAAAAAGTAACATGAAAGTTCCTGATCTCATCTGACCCTGGTCAGAGGCTGCCTGTTGTACCGGAAGGATGGATGCAGGTTATAAAAGAAAATGTTCTTGCTATTGTGGAACTGCTGGAGCTGGACCAAGGTCCAGCTGTGAGAGAGACACGTCCTCCAGAACACTGTCCTTTACACTGGAGATTATAATACACCATGCTAATGCTGATCTTTTTTCTTATGAAGGTGGTTCTTTTGGATAACATCTCTTGTGATAAGCCAAATAAACAAATGGTACATGACATTAGAGACTACAACAAGCGTTTCTCAGGACAACCTCGACCTGTAAGTATTGATAGATCTGCATTTACCTACTTAGTAGTGCATAACACATAGAGGATTGAAAGAGACCCAGCAATGAAAAGTAATTTGTATCATTATATGAACTGCTTTTCCATGCACTTACCATGCACTATTGGGTCCAACACCTTCTCATAAAGGTGCTTCTCAGAGTTCCTAGCTCAGAGGAGTCCTTCTGCAGTCATCCTGGCAGGAAGGAGAAAGCAGCGTGGGATAAAATACAGGAAGCAAAGCAGAACCAGAGATGGTCAGGCTGGAACTTACAAACTCAGATTTGAACTCCAAGATTTTAACTCTCCTCTAAAATTCCAAACCAGATTCTAGCTTAGAAAGCAGTTAGGTTTTTTTTCTGCAGGTATTGACCAATTCAAACAGTCCACATTGGCTCTGCGCTTTCTTAAAGCTGGTACAGAGACATGACAGGCAATGGAAATTATGTGAAAGATGAGGGCTTGAAGGCATACATGAGGCCCTTTCTTGATGGGGTGTAGAATAGAAACCAAAGCAAATGTTCCTCTCCTGTCACATCCTGGTGGGGGGCCTGACAGGACTGTGGGGTCTGTTTCAATCTACAAACTAGACTAAGTACGGTAGAGGGGAATATTATTTTCCAACCCCACAAACCAGCATTAATGAAGAGGAATAATCACTCAGTCCTATGGTTCCTGTCCCCACCAAGGTGAGACTTCAGGACTCATTTTCAAGCATTCACAGCCTACCCCTGAAGCCACATTTTAAAGCCAGGCATATACTCCAGTGCAGCCATGAAGGCCCAATTTCCAAAAGCATTCAACGTCAAGGATACTACTTTCTTTTTAACATGCTGGGGCAGCAGGAGTTCATTTAGAAGAGCACCTCTAGATAGTGCAAAATAATTGAACAGTTTAGGTGGATTTGGACAGCACAGGAAGCTTCTGCATTCAAGAGATGAGAATCTAGAAGTGCTTAAGGGACACATTCAACTGAAAAAACTACAGGCATCAGAATACAATAGTGTAACTCATCTGAGTGTTTAGTTTGCAGATTACCTCTATGACATGCCGTTATTCCTGACTCTTGCCTTGAGAGGAATCTTCACCTGCAGTGGTCTTGTATGGATGTTTTTCCTAAGAGTTGCTGTTTGCTCCTTTGGAACAATCATATGCCTGTCTCCTCCATTTGACACAAAGCCTGCACCTCTCTGCAGGACACTCGGAACAGCTGATGACATGGTGGTTGTTTCCCTTCTTTTAATTTGCATGATTAACATTTGTCAGCAAATTGCGTCTACTGGGGTGAATACAGCGACGTCTGCAGCTCTGAGCAGGCTTCAGAGTCCTGACTGACTCAAACCTGGATTGCTTAGTCAAACTTCATCAAGTGGTGACAACAGGCTTCTCTTTGGTTTGGGGCAATATATGATGGAGTTGTTATTCTGCTGCTGCCAAAGGCTGGATCAGGACTCAGCAATACTTGGCATGGCCAAGTGATTGATGTGCAAGTACTTAGAAGGCTCATTTTACACCAGATACTTGCTAGACTCTCTCATGCTGTAATTTTTTGTAACTTCTCTTCACACAAGTCCCTGAACTGAAAATGCCTAAACCTACAAACAGAGCTTAAAATGAGAATGCCAATCAACTTGCAGTTGAGTTTTGGACGCTTGAGCTTTAACATTTTACATCATGGCTCAATTTGAATAAAATTTTAATTTGAGAACTTAGCAAACTGTACAATTTGCTAAGTCTTGTATAACCCAAGGAATGTTAGTATCAGTGCAGAATTTGTATCAGTGCTTGGTGTTATCCCAGATGATTACATATCCATTGGAATAGAGATTTTTTACAGCTCCGCAATTAGTACAGTCCTGATTTAAAACTGGATAATAGGAAACTGGTAGTAACACAGGCTTGGAACAAAAATGCAACTGTAAAGTTGAAGTATTACAAAGGGAGAACAGCATTAAAAATCATGCAAGGGAAATGAACAAATCTCTGTGTAACTCCTCCATATAGTCCTGTACAAAGAACACAGCTCTTCCTTGAACTCTGTGTATTTAAGATTTAACAAAGTCAGCACGACTGTTTGTTTCCTTTCTTGACTTCATCCAGTCCTTGTGACTTCCTTGTAAGTCTCGGTACCAGTTCAGCCAGAGAGATCAAGGTCAATTTGATGATGATGATATAAATAGCTGGAAGTTTATGGGAAGTTTGCCGAAGTTGGGGAGTGTGTGTTTATGTCTGTGTTGAGCTGCAAAGAGTTAAAAACACTGGCACAGTGCTGGACAACCGTACACATCTGTTCCTCCATAACCTGTACATTTGTTATGCATTTGGAGTCAGTGGACTTCATTTTTACAGAGGAATTTTATATTAAAATACATATATTAAACTTTATGAATATTTAATGTTCAGAATACACTCATCCCCAATTGCTTTTTTCATTCTTAGTATTTCAAGCTGAAATATTTTATCATGTCCTTGACTTGAAAGCTATGATACACCATTATGTTGCAGTCGATTCCTTGCTTGCTATATGGTTTGTGTTATGATGTTTCTTCATTTTATTTCCATCAACTTTCATTGTCTTTAATTATGTCCCTGAACTTGTAAAGCTGTTTCTCTTAACAATGGATACTTTGGAAATGGCAACAACTGCTTTTCCATGAACTACATGGCAGGAAATGCATTGTTTCTTTAAAAAAATTACCAGATGTTTTCGAGAGCTGACTACAAACATTAAAAAAAACCCAGAAACTATTATTTTCCAAGTTCTCTAAATGTAATTTTGTTATTGTGTAACTTCTGTTTGCATTTAGCTGGGAATTACAGCTTGTGCCAGTACCAAAGAACAGAATTTCTGTCAAGCTAACTGTACAAAGATGGAGGCCATCTCTGTGAATACAGGGACAGGGACTCTAGATTGTTTCTCCTGCATAACACAGGCCCACCAAGAGGGTGGCAGTTACAACGTGAAGAAAAGGAGGGTTCTTTGAGTGACCTGTAGTAGATTTGTAGTTGATCTGAATACACTCTTCTCTTTCCCCTTTCCTCTTACCCTGTCCTGCAGTTGGGGACCCTTTCTTGAAACAGAACAGCACCGAGAAGTTACAAACAAATGGCAGAGAAACAATTCCTGAGAGAACTTCACTGAAGGCACTGGCATTATTTAGACCTTGCAAGATCAAAACAGTTTGTACTGTCAGAGGTGAAACTTTTCACTGTGCACTACCAGAGTGTCCAAACTCTGTCCTTCCATAGCCCAGTCATGCCATGACCTGGCAGTACCTTGTAGGACTAAGTGTCCAAGGCAGCCTTCAAAAATCCCATGGGAACAAACGAAAACCTTTTGTTGACTGGACTTGGCCAGCAGACAGAAAGGAAGGTTTCTGAGCCTTGAAAAATGCAAGTGTAAGGAAGGAACCCCCTCTCTCCAGTACCTGCTGTTGCTGTGCTGGGATCTGCAGCTGGTGGCTGTGTAGACACACATGCTCTGAGCTGGGTCTGGCTGAAGCAACGTGATGAGAACGGAGAGGGAGAGCTGGGCTGTGTCAAGGCTGGCTCCCCACGAGGCAGCTGGCAGGATGGAAGGAATTCACCTCCATTATGAACATATTTTCAGCTACTGTGTCTGCTCAGCCTGGTCTTTCAATGACACCAGTGGGCTGTTCCATGTCTGCACAGCGATCAGTGCGCACGGAGGGTGAGCTATTGCAAAGGGCAAAATGGCATAATGACTGCTCTGCAAGCAAGGAGGCAGAAAAAAGAGAGCAGGCAACAGAAGAAAACAGAGAGAAAAATGTGCACAGCTGCAAAAGTGACTCTCAAATATCAGCCACAAAGAAGTACTACAATCAGAGTAAAAAAAAAATCCAAACAGAACTTTCCAATGGAAATCATGCTTGGGTCTCAGCTGTAGCAGGCAGTAAAATGAGAAGGACCCTGCATGGCGGCAGGTATAGTTACCTGAGAAAAGCACAGCAAAGGGCAGTGATTCAAGTCCATCCCAGTCAGTTATGTTTCTCCTTGTGCTGCTCCTGCTGGTGGCCAGTCTAAACACCAGCACTGGGGTACCCACAGTCTTGTCTTCCCTGACTGGAGCAAATAATTATTCCTTGTTCCTGGGGTGCAGGGATTATTGACAGGAAACACCCCAAGTTTCACAGTGAAGTGAGTGCATTTTATTTCCATTAAAAATTAAAATGTACACTTTAAATTACAAAAGTATGTTTTAACATGGACAGTACAGTCCTAAAAAATTACCCTCATCACAAGTACCTATAAATTCATTATCACTGCTGTTCCCAGTTTATGTGACTCTGGGTTAGAAGCTGTTCATGATGGAGCGATACTCTCTCTGGTGTTCCACAAGTTTCAAGAAGACTTTGTATTTCTTGTCATAAAAGCTGTAAAACAAAGTTAGTATCAACAAAGATTTTAGTATTAAATCTCCTGTCCTATACATGCTTACTTCCTTCACTTAACATCAAAGCAGCTTTGACTTTCCTAATCACAACTGTTACTGGGATCAGAGCCCCGCATGCTGCCTTAGTACCATTTCACCCAAAGAGGTGATTTCAATTTACAACTGTACCATTCGTTTACCCCATATCCAGCTTTCGGATTTTCAGAGCGGGTAGGCACCAGGAACTCGATGCTCCTCTCCCCATCTTTACCCGCTGGCAGAGCCCCCATCATACACCCCCAGGTTTCCGGAGCTCCTCTGACGCGGACCCCGCACCCGCGG